TGAAGATGAAGACATTTATATTTTTTAAGTCTTTTTTAGATTAGTTTATTTCTATTTTGAAAAAAATTAAGGACCAAAACGATAGTACAGCAGGTAAGGTGTTTACCTTGCATGAAGGTACTAAGTCGACCCAGATTTGATCCCAGACATCCTGTATGGTCCCTCAAGCACTGCCAGGTGTAATTCCTTACTGCAGCCAGGAGTAAGCCCTGAGCATACCAGGTGTGGTCCCTCCCATTCCCTCCTGCCCCGAAAAAAGTCTCACATATACTGGAAGGATAAATATCAAAGCAATAACAAGAGGTTACTTCTAGAGAGTGAGGGAGAGAGTATCATCACTTTATATTATGTATACAATGAATTATTTGCATTTCCCTCCCAAAGCATGTGCAGCTTTGAGTTTTGGCCAAAAAACTTTAAAAAGTTACTCACTAATATATTTATCTCCTTTACTAACAGCTATGCTTGGATGGCTTTGCTTGACATCATGTTCTTAAATAAATCTAAGCATTCAATACAAAGTTCTCAAAAAAGAGCTTCTATATATTAAATTGCAGTAAATTAGAAGAAATCCCTTTAGAACTGGTTTGGTGAGTTTATAGAAGCAAATGAGAGATGAATAGTAATAAAGAGAATCTAGGTGGTAGCCATTCACTTTTTTGCTTGTTTTCGTGTCACACCCAGGGTGCTTAAGGGCCATTTGTGGTTCTCTGTTCAGGTTTCACTTCTAGCAGTGTTCAGACAACTAAATGTGGTGCCAGGGTTTGAATGCAGGCTGGAAAGCATGTACTCCACTCCAATGAGCTGCCTCTCTGATCCCAACAAATGTTCAGATTTTTTTTCTGGTAACAGAATTTAAAAAATTGTGTTAAAAAAATATATATAAGCATATATATATATATGAGTGTACACACACAAAGACACACATACACACATAAAATCTGCCACTTTATGTGTAAAAAATTTTTTTTAAAAATAAAAAAAAAATGGGGGCTATACATGATGGTGCACAGAAACTAGTCCTGACTGTGCTCAGGAATGACCCCTGGAAGTGATTAGGGAATGACCTGTGGAGCTGATGATCAAATGGATGGACAGCATGCAAGACAATCTATAATTCTGCAGCACTAAGTTACAACCGTACTGTTGTACAAAAACATGTAATAGTCACCAATGAATGTGAAGTGGTATCTGTGGTTTTAACTTGTATTTTAACTTGTAAGGTAAGGTAAGGTAAAGGCCCTCCCGTTGATCGTCGATTTGCTCGAGCGGGCCCAGTAACGTCTCCATTGGAGACTTTGTTGTTACTGTGTCTGGCATATCGAATACTCTCGGTAGCTTGCCGGGTTCTCCGAGAGGGGCGGAGGAATCGAACTCGGGTCGGCCATGTTGGCCGCGTGTAAGGCGATTTTAACTTGTATTGTTGGTTTTTTTGGTTTGTTCTGGGGCCACAACTAGAGCTTGAGGGCTGTTCCTGGTTCTGTGTTCTGTGTTCTAGGGTTGCTTTTAGTGGTGTTTGAAGGACTATGCAGTGCCAGGAATTGTATTTTAGTCTCCTGCACGTGAAGCATATCCTCAGCCCAGTGAGTTATCTCTCTGTTCCTTGATTTCCATTTTTCTAGTAACTGACAATGCTGACCACTTTACATGTGCTTATTGCTCATTAGTGTGAGTTTGGAAAAATGCTTATTCAAGTTCTGTCCCTATATTTACTTTTTCTTACTTTTATACTTACACACACACACACACACACACACTCCTTTTTCTCAACCTAACCAAATGCTTTTTGCCTATTTTTAAAAATAGGTTGTTTGGTTTTGTTGTTGTTAAGTTATAGGAGTGCTTTAAATAGTCTGAGAATAAATCTCAAATCAGATATGTGATTTGCAAACATTTTCTTCATCTTGGGTTACCTTTTTCACTTTGTTAATAGTGTCCCTTGATTGAAAAAAAAATCCCTTCTAATTTTATGAAATCCAATTTAATCTAATTTTTCTGATGCTTGAATGACGTACTGGTGTCATATTCGAGACATCACTTCTGAACTCACTGTTATGAATCCCCGTAAGATTTCTTCTAAGATGGGGTTAAAGGGATAGCAGATAGGTCATTTGCCTTGTATGCAGTTGACAAGGATTCAATTGCGAGCATCACATATTGTCCTCCAATCACCGCCAGAACAATTCTTGAGTGTGGAGCCAGGAGTAAACCTGAGCACCTCTGGGTGCCACCCCCAAACAAAAAAACAAAACAAAACTAGATTTCTTCTAAGAATCTATAATATTAGCTCTTGTACTTTTGATCTAATTTAAATTTTGTGTATAATGACAGGTAAGAGTGGATCCATGACCATGAAATTTTCTCCATGTACTGGTAACTTCTTTCATCAATGTTTTCTATTTTCCAGCTTATAAGACCTACTTGCTTAAGTTTATCCCTAAGTATATTAATCATTTTGATACTACAATAAATGAAACTTTCTCAATTTCCTTTTCAGACTGTTTAATATTGATATATAAACATGCAACTGATTTTTGCCTATTATTTTGTATCCTACAACTCTGTTGAAATTATTGAGTTCTAAAATCTCTTCTGGTAGAATATTTAGGGCTTTCTATAAATAAAATCATATCATCTGTTAACATAGATATCTTTACTTCTAATTTTGTTTTTAATTATTCATGCATAATTGATCCCAATACTATGTTAAACAGAGCAGCTAATACTTTTCTGTAATTTTGATTAAATAAAAATACAATATAAAATAAGCCAAAATCATCATGATCCTAATCTATTTTTTCAGCTTCTTTTTCTAGACTCCCTTGATTTTTGTTTTTTTTCGGAGTTATAAGATCACCTTAAGGTATATTTGAAAGGTTGATCCTTGATTAGTAAATGGGAAGTTAACATTTGAAAACATTTCCTACATAATAAAAATTGTGAGTGATGTGCCAGCTTGATAAAGACTGAGCCATGAAATTTATAGTGTACACCTACATTCCTTTTGAGAGTCTAGATTTACACTGAGAGAGAATACCTCTGAGTGGTAACCAGCCCCTAATTAAAACCCTGAACTCGTGTGTCCCAAATGCAATTTCCAGTACAGAAACACTGAATATAAATTACAAAATTTCTGAAGCTGGAGGGTAACTACATTATGTGTGAACCTTTGTAGGAGGAAGTCCGTATAGAAAACCTAAACATGGGTTCTCCTAAATGATACCTGATTTCTTTTTCAATTTCTCTTACCGATTGTGTCACTATAATAGATATTAGCTGTGAATTCAACTATACACAAGGCCTAGTGAGTCATTCTAGAGAATCAAAAATGTATGGTGGCAAAGAGTACTAAATAATGATACTAAATAAGTAATTCTTCATTTCAAAGTGTATATTAATAAGTTTATGCTCTTTCCTATGATAATATGGAAACAAAATATCAGAATAAAACATACAATTTTACACTGAATTAATTACTATTTTGAAAAGTTAATTATATAATTTTTCTCATTTGGTGCAGATGAGTACAAATAAACAAAACAAAAAACCTCATGATAGGGGCAAGAGAAACAGTGGAGAGATAGGCACCTATTTTGAATGTGCCTGTGGATGCAGCAATGGTTCAAATCTCTGTACCAAATATGGTCTCTGAACACAGAGCCAGGTGCAGCTGCCCCCAAACAAACAAAAACCTCACACCGTGGACTAATATTGATATGTGTATGAAAACCACTAGACTAAGGAATTTTTGCCTAAATATGTTTCTTCAATTTCTTCTGAAAGTTCTAAATAGAAACTGTATGTGTACAGAGGTAATTTTTAAAAGCCTAAAACTTCTATTATTAAAAATTTCACTGAGATAGCTTTTTACTTAGTCATTATTTATTAATAAAAACTATTATAAATTAAAAACAAATTTAGTTCGAGGATTTGAAAATTTGTATATCTACCTTCAAATAACAATGTAAAAAACTAAAAAATAAAACTAGCTAAAGAAATGTCATCTGCACTTCTATGTTCATTGCAGCACTATTCCAATAGCTAGAATCTGGAAACAACTTGAGTGCCAGAGAATAGATAGCTGGATAAAGAAAATAAGGTACATCTATACAACGAAATACTATGCAGCTGTTAGGAAAAATAAAGTCATGAAACCTGCTTATAAGTGGATGGACATGGTGAGTATCATACTGAGCAAAATGAGTCAGAAGAAAAGGGACAGATACAGAATGACTGCATTCATTTGTGGGCTATAATAAAAAAAAAAGTAGTATAAGACTAATATCCAAGACTAGGGAAAGCAAAGGTCAGCAGCTGGACTCTTGCCAAAGAGTGTCTGGAGTGAAAGGCAGTTAGGATAGAGAAGATGCCAATATGGAGAGAGAGCCTGTCATAGAGACAGGTGTGTGTGTGTGCGGGGGGGAGTGGGGGTGGGCGGAGGGAAACTGGGGACATTGGTGGTGGGAAATGTATACTGGTGAAGGGATGGATGTTGGAAAATTGTATGAATGAAATACAATCATGAACAACTTTGTAAATGTGTATCTCATATGATTCAATTAGAAAAAAATATCCAAACTAGCTGAAACAGTGGTACTATACTTTCAGGAGGTGATTTGTTGTTACTTTGTTTTGGGGCCACAATTCTCAGGTCATTCCAGGTGATGGTTGATGCTGGAGGACCAAGTAGTGTCAGGAATCAAGCCTTCTGCATGCAAAGCATGGGCTGGCTCTTGGAGCTATGTTCCTGACTAATCAGGATGTAATTTTGTATGGAAGATAACATTCTTTAGCTTTTTCTCAACATAATAATCTTAAAACAACTCCAGTGATTCTTCATATGTCACAATGTTTTTTAAAAAAGACAAAGATCTCAAATCTCATCTATTATATCAGTTTCAGTAATTAAAGTTCTCCAAGGCAATTTCTTTCAACAGCAAAGGACTCTCAAATTCCACTTATCAGAGTAAAGAAGAGCCTTCAAAATCGAAGCCACGTACCTTTTGCTGTAGTTCTCTTATTGCAGAATCTCTATCCATACATGCCTGTCGATAGGCTTCATAAGCTTTATTGAGCTGCTGACCAATGTTTTTATCCATTCCTTTCTGTTCTGTAGCATCACTATAAAGGATGGAGTAAGGTACAGGTCTGGAAAATAAAATAATTTAGTTTAACAGTTTTATAAATTTCACGTAAAAAAACTTAAGGTAAATTTTTATACAGTTTGCTTTGAATATAATGATTTATGAAGGCATAGAAGGCTTATCTGAAATTTTGCTCAAAAAGTGAAATTTTGGCTTCTGCAATTAAAAAAAAATACATCCCCATAACTTTTCAATAATGCAAAGAGCAAGCGGGGTTCCAGTTCATAAAAAGATATTTTGAAAAAAGTAATCTGTAAATACAATCTAAAAATGGAGACATCTAAAAAGGCCATTTTGTCATTTATACTTTATTATAGATATGCACAACAGGATTAGCAATGTGGGAAGAGATTTTTTTTTTAAACCAAACGGACAGCTACTCCCACTTACAAGGAGAATTCTTGCTACACAGAAATTAGAGCAAAATTAAACAGATAATAAATGTTTGTGGCTAGAGTTCACACTGTTGTTATCACAGAGCAATTAAAATGTGTGAAAATGCTCTTATTTTAGCACAAAATCTAGGGAGAGCTGCTGTTGGATCGTACATTAAAAAAGTCCTAACCCCCTCTCTTATTAGTGTTCCAACCTCCCTGCTGTTTCCAAACTACAGGTGATTTATTCAGTGGAGATAATTTGGTTTATCATCTCAATTTGCATAACATCTCTAACCACATTCCTTGGCTCTGAGTCCAGGGTCATCTAATGATTCTGATTCTTCCTGTCCAGCTGTAAAATCATACCACAGAACCTTTCTCTTAATTCTCTAAAAGGCACAGAACAATGTTCGCAGACATAAGTCACAGAAGGATTTTACAATGTACCAAATTATTTCACTTCTTTATGACTAAAACATGATAATCTAGTCATTAATCTTACATAATATCTTTCATTTGATCTTAGATACACAGTGCTCTTTTGGGGGCAATTTTAATTAAGAAAATTAACACAATGAAGTTCAAAGTAAATCAGTGGTTTTAAAATGTTTTGTTTCTTTGTTTTAAGGCCACACCCTGCTGTGCTCAAGGCTTACTCCTGGCAGGGCTCAGAAGACCATATGTGGTGGGACTGAACTCCGATGTTCGCAAGGCAAGTTGCTTTCCACGGCACTCTCTCTCCAGTCCCAATATATTCAGTGTTTTTGTTTTATTCACAAAAGGGATTAGATGAAACTAAAAAGATTCTGCACAGTAAAAGAAACTATTTAAAATGAAGACTTCTTGGGGCCAGAGAACAGCCCAACAAACTGGAGTACATGATTTGCATGCAGGAGGCCAGGGTTCTTTCCCTAATACCGCAAGGAGTAATACCTGAGCACTGAGCTAAAAGTAGTCTTTGAGTACCAATTTGTGTCAACTTGTGGCATCCCTCCTGTTCCTCTCCCACCCCTATACACACACACACACACAAAGAAGAAGACATTCTACTGAAAGGAAAGAAATATATTTGTATATCACTGCTATAGGGCGTTTGACTTACAAGCGGCCAACATGGCCGACCCAAGTTCGATTCCTCCGCCCCTCTCAGAGAGCCTGGCAAGCTACCGAGAGTATTTTGCCTGCACGGCAGAGTCTGGCAAGCTACCCGTGACGTATTCGATATGCCAAACACAGTAACAACAAGTCTCATGATGGAGACGTTACTGGGCCCGCTCGAGCAAATCGATGAACAACGGGAGGACCGTGACCGTGACCATGACAGTCAACAAGGAGCTAATATTCAAGACCTATAAATAACTCACTCACAAAAGTCAACAACAAAAACAACCTACTGAAAATGTGGAAGAACACTTCCATAAAGACATAAATAGTTAACAGACATCTGAAAAAAATGCTCATTATTACTTTTCTTTTTATTTCCTGAAAATACATACCAAAACTACAATGAGCTATCTCCCTAGACCTGTAAGAATGGCATGCAGTAAGAAAGCCTGAAGCAAGTATTGGTAAGGGTATGGAAAAAAGGAAACCCTTGTACACTCTGGAAGGAAGATAAATTAGTCTTTTCTCTATAAAAACAACATGTAGATTTACCAAAATATTGGGCTGGAGCAATAGCGCAGTGGGTAGGGCGTTTGCCTTGCATGCAGCCAACATGGCCAACCCGAGTTCAATTCCTCCGCCCCTCTCGGAGAGCCCAGCAAGCTACCGAGAGTATCTCGCCCACAGGGCAAAGCCTGGCAAGCTACCCGTGACTTATTCATATGCCAAACACAGTAACAAGTCTTACAATGTTACTGGGCCTGCTCAAGAAAATCAATGAACAAAGGGAGGACCGTGTACTGTGTTACCAAAATATTGAAAATAGCTCTCGGGTTGGAGCGATAGTACAGTGGGTAGGGCATTTGCCTTGCACGTGATGGACCCAGGTTCGATTCCCAGCATTCCATATGGTCCCCCCAAGCATCGCCAGGAGGAATTCCTTAGTGCAAAGCCAGGAGTAACCCCTGTGCATGGCCGGGTATGAGTCCAAAGCCAAAAAGCCAATCAAACAAAACAAACAAAAACACCCCTGAAAATAGGTCTAATAGATGATCTAGTAATTTTACTCCTATCCTATTTGAAGACTAGAAAAACACTAATCTGAAATTGCCATCTGCAAAATGAGAATGTAACTGGAAAGGGTATGCAAAGTGAAGAAAAGAGGAAAGACAAATACAAGATGAATTCATTCATAAGTGGTATGTAAAGAATCCAAGGGAACAGAGAATGTCAAACAAAACCAGTTTTAGAATCTGACTGCAGAACCAGAGCACTCAAGAGGAAGAAGTGAGGGGGCTCAAACAAAGGTGAGAGATTCTAGGAATGTTGAGGAAGGACAATGGAATTTTAGTGCAGGGTCACTGTCACTTAACTGTCCTGTTGTTCATTGATTTGCTTGAGCAGACCCAGTAACGTCTCCATTGTGACAATTGTTAGTGTTTGGCATATTGAATATGTCACGGGTAGCTTGCCAGGCTTTACCGTGTGGACAAGATACTCTTGGTAGCTTGCCAGGCTCTCCAAGAGGGGCGGAGGAATCGAACTCGGGTCGGCAATGTTGGACACTTGCAAGGCAAATGCCTACCCACTGTGCTATCGCTCTAGCCCTTAGTGGAGGGTATGGGGTGGTAACACACATCTAGAAAGATGTAGAACTATACCCTCAAAACACATAGTCCTGTAGACCCATAATACTTTAATTTAAAAAAAAATTAGCTATTCTAATAGGTGTGAAGTAGCATCTCACTACTTTTGAGCTGTATATTCCTAATGACTAATCACTGTGAACTTCCTTCCAGTACTTATTGCTCTGTTATATATCTTCTTTGAAGAAACATCTTGATCACTTGACTTCCCGTTAATCGTCGATTTGCTAGAGCGGGCGCCAGTCCATTTGTCCCTGTTGCGTGCTAGTGTAGCCCAATGGCATCTGTTCGCTCTAGGAACACGAAGAGCCTCAAACCGATCATTCAAGATCCTGATGAAGAAGTCTGACTATCTGGTAGGTGGGCGGCCACACGGCCTTTTGACATCCCGTGGAATCCAGTCGATAACGGCTCTAGTCCAACGGTCGCCTTTAAATCTCATTACATGACCAGCCCATCTGATTCTTGACACCTTGGCAAACGAGACAGCGTCCCTGATTCTTGATCATCGACGGAGGTCGGAACTCCAGATTCTTTCTCTCATTTGAGTAAAACGTGATATTCCAAGCATAGCTCTTTCAATTCCTCTTTGGGAGACCTGAATAGCGTTCTCATCCTGTTTGCGTAGGGCCCAGGTCTCTGAGGCATATGTTGATGCAGGAAGAACAGTGGAATCAAAGAGATGTGCCCGGACCCAGAGGTTCTTTGTCCTCTTAGCTATTTCTTCGATGCTCTTGAAGGCGTACCAAGCTGCTCTCTTCCTCCTGCGCAGCTCGGGTGCCAGGTCATTTGTCATGTTGACTTCTCGACCCAGGTACACAAAGCTATTGCATTCGGAGATGGTGGTTCCGTTGAGAGCGAAAGGGGTGTCAGGAACAAGGCTGTTTCTCATAAACATTGTCTTCGTAAGATTCAGCTGTAGGTATGAAAGGTCCGACCTTTCCATACTCACGGTTGAAGTCGGCCAGCATTTGTGCCGCTTGGCTAATGTTTGGTGTTATTAAAACAATGTCACCAGCAAAGCAGAGGTGGTGTAGTTGCCGACCGTCTATCTTCACTCCCATTCCTTCCCATTCCAGTCGTCGCATGATGTTCTCGAGGGTGGCACCGAAGAGTTTTGGTGAAATGGTATCACCCTGCCGAACCCCTCTCTTGACATGGATGATCACTTCTTTGTAGAATGGTGAGATCCTGGTAGTGAATCCCTAATACAGCTCATGGAGAATCTTGATGTATTGCGCTTGAATGCCCTGATTGGCTAGGGCTTCAATGACTGCTTTCGTCTCAACAGAATCAAAGGCCTTCTTTAAATCAATGGACATTAGACAGAGAGGCATCTTGAACTCCCGAGAAACCTCAATGAGCTTGGTTATCGTGTGGATATGGTCGATGGTGCTGAATCCTTTGCGGAACCCAGCTTGTTCGCATGGTTGTCTACTTACTTAAATTCTTCTTCTTTTTAATGAGTTTCTTTATATTGTTTATTATCTTTAATTATAGAAAACTAGACTTTAAACAGATATACAATTTGCAATGTCTTTTATCATTTATTTCCTTTACAATGTTCTCTGACATACATAAGTTTTTTTAATTTTGATATAATTCAAGTTATTTTTCTTCTGTTCTTTGCACTTTTGGAAAAAATCAGTGCCAATCCAAAGTTAAGTAGGTTGTCATCAATGTCTCCATTTAAGAATTTAACCAGGGGCTGGAGAGCTAGTTCAGGGCATTTGCCTTGAACACAGCAAAACCCCAGCCATGCCAGTAGTGATCTCTGAGCACACAGCTAGGGGTTAGTCCTTAGCATAGCTGGGTGTGGCCTCCAAAATAAACAAAAAAAATTAATCATTTGGTTATGTGATTTATACTGCATTAAT